ACCACCACTAATACTGCATCATCATCATCAAATAATAATAATGATAATAATGATAATCAGCAGCTTGTAAACATAAACAATCACACATCACCGTCATCACCATCATCATCACCATCAAATCATCTATATAAGCAAAAATTGTCGGTATAAGTTTAGGATTTACTAATGGATTTGGGGTTTTCGAAGCTTCTTCAAATGGTTCCATAAACAACTAATAATAAAAATAAAAATAATTTTTGTTATCACAACGATGACAATGATTAGATGATGTGTGTGAGATAAATATAAAAAAAATTTTCACAACTTACTTTTCTCAATTTTTTCAAATGTTTTAAATAACTTAATTCAGTTGAATATATTTCACCAACAATAAATAATCTCATTTGATAATTTGGACTTTTCTCGTTAGTGCTTGTAGTCTTTATTGACGACTCTAGTTTTGACATAACTATCCTCTCTTCATTTACTATTCTCTTTTTCCCTTGGCTATCTCTTTTTTTGGCTTTTATTTTCTCATCATCATCACCATCATTGTTACTACTATCAAGGTTATCAAAATTAAAATCAAAATCAATGATAAGCTTGTCATTAGTCTTGTTTTCTTCACCTATAACTACATCAATTTGCTCGCCCTCTTTTCCTTTGTCATCACTATCACCATCTTCATTGTCGTCATCATCATCATCATAATCTTCATTGTCATCATCATCAATATCATTATTATTTATAGTTTTATTTCTAATATTAAATATATTTAAATCAGATTCTTCAACTAATTGTTGATTTGATTGTGCTGAAGTTGTGCATGCATAAGAATTTCTTCGTTTGATTTCGGTTAGTGAGTTCCTTTTTAATTTAAAGAAGCCTTTTAAATGCCTAACTTCGATATGTGACCAAGATCTTCTTATGTTACTATTTATAGTTTTTTGTCGTTGCCTTGATGATTGTTGTTGTTGTTGTTGTTGTTGTTGTTCATCTGAACAATTATTATTATTATCTTTATTTATTACGACGTTGTTGCCCTCGTGTGGTATTTTTAATGATGTTGGTGATGATGCAGGTGTTGTTAAAAATGTTAAAGAAGTTGGTGTGGTAGTAATGTTAGTATTATCAGAAGTAGTAGTAGTACTAGTAGAAGATGACGAGAACCAATTTGAATCCGAATCATAATTGGTTATAGATGTTGTTGGTGTCGATGATGTTGAATGATGATGTTGGTTTTGGTTTTGTGAAGTAAATGTAGAAATTAAACCATCTAATCTGGATTTTTTATTGTTGTTATTATTATTATTATTTAATGAATCGTTTATTGTCGGTATATTATCATCATCGTTTTCAGAATCGTTTGAAGGAATAATTATATTCGGAGGTGACTTTGAACGTCTGCCTATACTAAGTGAACAGTAAGAAGGCTTAATTGTAGATTTAGATGTAGATGAAGTAGGAATAAGTGCAGATGCTGGTGATGGTGATGATTGTGATTGTGATTGTGATGGTGATGATGATGGTGATGACGGTGATGTGTGATTGTTTATGTTTACAAGCTGCTGATTATCATTATTATCATTATTATTATTTGATGATGATGATGCAGTATTAGTGGTGGTGAGAAGATGACGGTGATGATGAAGAATAAGATTGTTGGTTGTGGCAACTAAAGCTGAAGACATTTTTTCTTTAGTAGTAGTTGTTGTTGTGGTGGTGGTGGTGGTGGTGGTAATTTTTGACGAAGTTATTTGAGATAAATCGTTGCATACAACTGTATTTTTGTTCTTAATATTATTATTATAAATCTTGGTGAATAATGGTTTAAGATTTAAGATTTTTTTAGATTTTTTCAATGATTTGCAAAATTTTTGTAATTTTGAAGGTTTTGAAGGTTTTGAATGCTTCGAGCAATTGGTGGTGTTGGTAACGTCGATGATATCTAGATAATTTTATATTTATAATTTAATAACAGAAATATTATAATATATATAATATAAAAATGGTTTAGATTTACAAATAATTTACATTCATGCATGCATCATTTTGTCATTGTTTCTACTATTACTCTATTCCGTGCATTTGAAACAAAACGTGTATATATTACAAATATAATTTGGAATAGTTGGTTACCTCTTTAGAGGTAGAGAGAGGACACAATTCTATCATGAAATTTTTGCAGATTTCTCACGTATCGTGAATCAAAATCCCAATTTAATAAAACTCAGAGTACCAAGCCCGTTCCCTAGTTTTCTCATTGCATCAGTACTATGATATTCGAATAATCGAATGTTAACATATTCGAAATTTAGTGTCAAATAAATTTACATATTCGAATTTTCCGATATCCGTAATAGTAATAGTAATACTTTCGAATATTCGTAATATTTTCAAATATTTGTAATACTTGGACTGATAAAATTTCTTCAAATAAAATGTCTTCAGTAAATGATGGCATTATTTTAATTAATGATGAAGAAGAAACATATTCTAATCTTTCATCATCAGAGTCTATCTCCAATAATAGATTATTCCAAATAAAAAACTTTGACGGAACTAAAGAAAGCTACGTTATTTAGTAACCATATCACAACAAATTAAAACCTGATAGAGTAGAAAACACAAGTGTAATTGGTGATATCAACCGTTAAAAACTAAAACTGGATAAAAACTTGTATAAATAAATTACCAAAAAAAACAATTATTTTTATCGTTTATAAAACTTTACCAAAAATCTAAATAGGAATCATTCAAAAAATACCTGAATTTTTTCTTTTTGAAAAAGAATACCATGAATAATATTTTTACAAAGCCTATTTCTTTTCTTTCTAAATACATTTCTAGCTGATAAAAATAATATCTCGGATGGTACTGAGCTTTCCGGTATTGTTAGGTAAATCCTTGCTTGCACAGCAAAACCAACTTTTTTCGATTCCACCAAACAAGTGGATCTTCTTCCAATAAAACCTTTTGTGATGTTAGATAAAAATCTATTTCTGATTTTGATTTTGTTTGTAGCACAACTATTTGATATCAAAAAGACTTATTTGTCAAAAAACAATGATAAGGTTGGTGTCTGAGAAAAAAATTTTTGCAAAAAAGGGAAAATTAACCGGCTAAGCCGTTTAAAATTTCCTTAGCCAATCAAATCGGCTTAGCAGACTAAGCCGCCGTTAAACTCCTTAGTATTAGTATTAGCCAGTTGAACATCACTAATAATTTTTAATAGTAAACGTATTCGTAAGTGTTATTATTATTATTATTATTATTATTCGGAATATATTTGAATAGATAATAATAATAATCATAATAATAATAATAATAATAAATAATAATAATAATCGAATATAAAATTTCGGAAAATAAATAAACAAAAAAGCACAGTTTTGAAGAAGACACATTGTTACTCATAACCAGAGATTATTTTTTTTTGCGTTGATGCATTTCCTTTTTTAATAGAATAGCCTAAAGTCTTGTATAAACGTGGAACGAAACTTACGATATGCTTTTATATCATACAAGATTCTTTATCATGATAAATGATTGGTATGCTTGCTTTGCGTTGTCGTTATTAATATTAATCTAAAAGTTTCCATCCAATAATCAAGTATTACAAATCTATTGTTCTTAGACATTTATTATAATGAGCGTTATTACTTCAAGTCCAAATATTTAAAATATTTCAATTATTCTCTATTCCTCGCCCCAAGATATGATACAATTAAATTTCCCAGGGAGTGTATGGCTTTGAAGTTTATGGAAATTACATCATTGCAAAGGAGAGATTGCTAAAGCCTCTCGCTTGTCTGAAGCCTCCAACTTATGGGTGCCTTCGCCCGTGGAAAAGAAAAAATTCCATGGGGATGAAGACGTGTGAGAGCACCTAACCACATGTTTGTTGGAAGAAACTTATTAAATCTGACGCCTGTGATCAATATCAGTCGATTTATTCATTTCATTTTTTTCATCGACGAACTCTACAATTGGGAGGCTCCCATTACAATTTCAATCCCATGCACACAAAAAAAAAAAAATTGGAACAAGTGGGGACTTGACTCTAAAGTTTTTCTGTTACAATTCGGATGACAAGGTGATGGACCATTATCCTACATGGAAAAAGGACATTGATTATAATACGGCAAAAGCATCTATTTATAAGGATATTTCCAAAATCGGTCCCTTAAAAGTTTTATTTCTGCATAGTCCTAGTATCATCATACTTGGGTGATGCAATTTATCAATTTTATTAATATATATATATATTAGTTGAATGTTCCACGAGATAATTTCTGTAACACTGCTAAATTATTTCTCATTATTATTTATAGATTATGGAATTAATAAAGCCTTTTTCCTTACTGTAGATAGCTTTTCCGATAAGATAAAATACAAATGGGACCCAAAAAGGATATGAATGAAGAGAGTTTATTGTTCAGATAAGATTGAAAGGTTAGATGGTGGTGTAATATTGATAGTTGATTGGTTTTAATGATTTTTAATTATTATTTGCACTAGTAGAGTTGTCAATAAAAATAAAATGATAGTACGGAAGGAATATATTCTAGTTTTTAACAAGTGATTATGATTACTTGTTGTATTTGGGAAATTTTGACAAGTTTAGCTGTTACACGATATGACACGTGTTAATTCTACGAATTTTATTTATCAATTCTTGACGTTAACGCGTAATAAGTGAATAAAATTAAAAAGGATTAGTAATTTCGATACCGAATAAAGTAAAGTATTACGCCAACTCATTTATCTTTTCATCTCGACGATCGTTTTAATTATTTATATATTAATATATATACTAATTATTTTTATTTTTATTTGTTTATTTACCTAAAAAAATTTTCCTCAAAAAATTTTTTAATTTAATTAATTTTTTTTTTTTTGGTAATTTTCCGTTTTAAAACCTTTAACTGATCTTTTTTTCAAAATTTATCTAACGCACACTTGTCAATGGCAATAAATTCCATAAAAATATTTACAGGTAATTCGCATATCGAACTTGCACAACTTGTAGCGCGGTAAGAGTATAATTTTTTTTAAGGTGTAAATTTTCTTTTTAAAAAAAATCTTTATATAAAAATAAAAAAAACAAATTCTTTATGATATAAATAATAACAGTCGAGTAGGTTTGGATCTTTCAAAAGTAATAGTGATAAAATATGCTAATCAAGAAACCTCAGTTGCTATTGGTGAATCAGTTCGCGATGAAGATGTTTTCATTATTCAATCTGGGTGTGGAGAAGTTAACGATAATTTAATGGAACTATTGATTATGATCAATGCATGTAAGGCGGCATCTGCAAGAAGAATAACGGCAGTGATTCCTTGTTTTCCTTATGCTAGACAAGACAGAAAAGAAAAATCAAGAGCACCTATTTCTGCAAAATTAGTTGCTAATATGATAACCGTTGCTGGTGCTAATCATGTAATTACAATGGATTTACATGCAAGTCAGATCCAGGGTTTCTTCAATATTCCTGTAGATAATCTACCTTCTGAACCTTCCATGCTTAAATACATCAGCACTAATATTCCTGATTATAAAAATGCTATTATTGTTTCACCTGACGCCGGCGGTGCAAAAAGGTAATATATAATATTTTTAAGTCATTATTATATATATATAATATTTTTAATAAAATATAAAACATTATATATATAATATTTACATTATTTTTTTTTCCTTGAAATAGAGCAGCTTCAATTGCAGATTGTTTAAATTTAGATTTTGCTTTAATTCATAAAGAAAGAAAAAAAGCAAACGAAGTTTCAAGAATGATTTTAGTTGGTGATGTCAAAGGTAAAATAGCAATATTAGTTGATGATATGGCTGATACTTGTGGTACTTTGGCCTTAGCTTCTAAAACTTTAAGTGAGAGTGGTGCATTAAAAGTCTATGCAATGGCTGCACATGGTATTTTGTCTGGTAAAGCAATTGATATTATCAATGAAAGTTGCTTAGAAAGATTAGTTGTAACGAATACCATACCTCATCATGAAAAGAAAACTGATTGTTCAAAACTTGACACAATCGACATTTCTCCTACCTTATCTGAAGGTGATTTTTTTGATTAGAGTTAATTTGATTCATAGTTTAATTGCTGGTTTATTATTTATTAACCCACTTTTTTTTTAAACAAAAGCCATTCGACGTATACATAACGGTGAATCAATTTCGTTTTTATTTTCTTATGCTCCAGAATATTGTTAAAATATTTCAATTATTCTCTATTCCTCGCCCCAAGATATGATACAATTAAATTTCCCAGGGAGTGTATGGCTTTGAAGTTTATGGAAATTACATCATTGCAAAGGAGAGATTGCTAAAGCCTCTCGCTTGTCTGAAGCCTCCAACTTATGGGTGCCTTCGCCCGTGGAAAAGAAAAAATTCCATGGGGATGAAGACGTGTGAGAGCACCTAACCACATGTTTGTTGGAAGAAACTTATTAAATCTGACGCCTGTGATCAATATCAGTCGATTTATTCATTTCATTTTTTTCATCGACGAACTCTACAATTGGGAGGCTCCCATTACAATTTCAATCCCATGCACACAAAAAAAAAAAAATTGGAACAAGTGGGGACTTGACTCTAAAGTTTTTCTGTTACAATTCGGATGACAAGGTGATGGACCATTATCCTACATGGAAAAAGGACATTGATTATAATACGGCAAAAGCATCTATTTATAAGGATATTTCCAAAATCGGTCCCTTAAAAGTTTTATTTCTGCATAGTCCTAGTATCATCATACTTGGGTGATGCAATTTATCAATTTTATTAATATATATATATATTAGTTGAATGTTCCACGAGATAATTTCTGTAACACTGCTAAATTATTTCTCATTATTATTTATAGATTATGGAATTAATAAAGCCTTTTTCCTTACTGTAGATAGCTTTTCCGATAAGATAAAATACAAATGGGACCCAAAAAGGATATGAATGAAGAGAGTTTATTGTTCTTTATCAGTAATAATATCAAAATTCATATGTTATGGAACTTGAGATCTTTACAATCTCCGAGATCGTCGAAATTTGCCTTATTTTTCATTCTACAAAAAGCGATCGCCAGAATGAAAGGTTTAATTTCCCATAAAAGGAGAAATATACTTTCCTCTTGACGCATGTGATTCTAATAGAATTGCTTTATGGGGCAGAGATTCCGTTAATTGCAGGTGAAAAGCATTTTATTATCATATCATTATGTTAATCTCTTTTTCTAGCAGGTTCCAGGTCAAGCAAATGAATATAATAAACCAGATTTGTGAGGCGTCGTTTCTTATCTTATCGATTTTTTTTTAAGGTACACATTATGAATAAATTTTCGAGTCAGAAATATAGTTACTACTTCATGTATTAATTAATAGTTTTGTTTTTCTTAGCAGTCACGATGTCTGAAAAAAAATTTTTATATGTGAAAGGAGAAACAAAAGACTTTGATACTAATCACGAGAACATCCGAGTAGAGATTGAAGTGTTAAATGAAGATATTGCGAGTGATTTTCTTGTAGATAAAAATGATATCCAATTGACGGTTTGGAAAATGTAGCTTTTATAAATGCAACGACTAATAATAAAATTACAACTGTACTCGTTTAGAATAGAAAAAGTTATTTCATAACTTGGATAAATAACTATGATTTATCTGTACTTATAATGCTTCTAGGATTAATAGATGATGAGCCCAAGTCTAGTCATACCGAAAATGGGCCAGATGATGAGGCACGATCATGTAATGAGGTGCAGATAATTATGAAGATGACATATGTGATAGATGAGATTATGGTGCCCGTTTCGGCAGAGAGGCATTAGATTAGGTGAAGCTTCACTTTTTCACTTAGTGCATCATAATAACGGAAAAAAAAAAATAACGTTTATGACTCATAATTTTTACATGTGTGGCGATATTTTATTTTAAAAATCCAAAGCTCGATGTGGCGAACTAATAAATGCTTTATTAATATTAAGAAAAAATAATTGCAGATGATTTGGTACTGCAAATAATTAGTTGATGTAGATATTATATATTCTATAATTTTTATTGTGATGTTTGATTGTGACGCTTCATATATTAATAAAGCAATATCTTATAAAAATCATTTGAATTTGACGATCCTTTTGAACACTGGTGTCCCAAGTGTTGATCGATGCCATGTTTTGAACTTATTATTCTTGGAGCCTTCTTCATTCTTATTTATTACCACAAGGGTTTCCTTCACTGTTTGTTCATATGCTAGCTAGAGGAACAGTTTTGAATTAGTCGGTTTATACAGAATTGACAAGTAATATTAAATATTTTTTAGTAGTTATACCTCGAATGCACGCAGTGTGTCTAATCCATTTAAAAACATACAGCATGTTTCAAAAGACCTTGGCAGTTCCACACTATCACCAGTATCTACCATAAGATAAACTCCAGGAGAAATTAAGGTCATTAAATAACCGGTCCACTTTGTCATTATTTATTACATAGAGAGTTATTAATTAGATAGAACAAGATTAATTAAGACAAATTTTCTTGAAGACCAGCTTACCAATGACTTGCCAAGCAAAAACACGATTAATATCAGTTTTTTGTAGAATAATATCTAGCGAGTCCTTCATAAATAATCCCAACCTAATCAGATCAATTAGGTTTTTCTTTTCCGTGTTGTTCTTACCCTCGCCTGTTACTTCTCCAAACATCACTTCATAAGCAAACGTTCCTATTTATGTTAAAGAAAGAATTAGAAAACTGGTTTTTATTTGTATTTTTTATTTGTTTTTTTTTTATAAATATATACCATTATTGACAATATTCCCGATCATATCGGGTTGTTTAGCCCGAGAAGGATCACCAGTAGCAAGCTTTTCGGACCTTTGCACGTGTTTGGCCAAATTGTCGGATATATACAAGCATCATGAAAAAAAATGCGCAACACAGGACTTATTAAATTCGCCACCAAAGTTCCTTCACTAATTTTTTCCTTCAATGAACGCAACGGAATTGTGTAAGACCTGCAAAGTAGTTAAGAAAAAATATTTACTACAGACAATTCATAAAAATGTTTGAATAAAAGAGATCAAACTTATATACAAGTGTAGAAATAGAAACTGCATTCGTCGGAAAAATTCTTTTTCTGTTGTTGAATCGAATGTTTTTGAGAAAAAGTTCGTAATTGTTTCGCGAAGCTTGCACAACACACCATCATTATCATCAAGAGCAATCTAAAGCAAGGTAATCAGCAAAGGGAATATTGCAAAAGGGTGATAATATAAATAATAGAAGAATACAAACCTCAATATATTCTTGTAGGATTAATTTTATGTCTCTCGTCACTTTTCCTTTCCAATAAAATTTGATTTAATGTTCTTTCTCAAATCTTCTAGTGTCTCCCTAGAGAATGTTTTCACTTGCATTTCTGAATAGTCATCAGATTTTACTAAAAGGATATGCGATAGACTTCTAAAATTTCAAAAAGTAAACATCCTCTATTAATAAAGTTAATTTACTAAAAATATCAATATCCCATTTAGAAGTTCTACTTACAATATTTCGTGATAATTTTTCGTTACTAGCAAACCAGAATTTTGTGCAAGAGCTGATGCTTTGGACCAGTATGATTTAAATAACGATGAAATGTCTTTTGTTTTGAAAATGAACTATAAAACAGTCATTTTTTAGAGAAATCATAATTGCAATTGATTGTGAGAAAAAAAATATTTACATGTTTATCACCCTGATCAATGTATTCGTCAAATCCGATTTCTTCTACATTTAGCCTTAACACACACTCCTCATCACTTTCATTGGAATCATCACTTTCATCGGAATCATTACTATCATGCTTTGCAAATATAGGTCAAATAGGTCAATTTTAAGTCAAAAATGAATAAAAAAATCATTATATTTATGACACCAACCTCAGAACCAATAGGGGTCTTAAAATCGTCATCGGTAAAAGAATTCTTGAGTGGCGTGTCATCAGTCTTTTTGAGTGTGGGTCGTTTTGATCTTGGCTCGTATAATACATCATCATCATCACTGTTAAATGAAATAATTGGGCATATTGCAACAAAACCAGACAAAGTGAACATTCATATTACCAGAACTAGAGTAACGACGAGTAGCAGGTGATAACCACCACCACCATCCTTAAAACACTTACACAGCAACATTAACGACAAATTCTTGATTTCTTTTTTTTACTTGTGTTTTTTCATCTTTTTTTTTTTAATAAAAATATTTAAAAAGAAGTTTGTTATTTGATTGACGTGTACATATTAATTATTTATCCTATCAGTCATCCGTGATGTCATAATGAGCGATTTTGTTATAGTAATAGCGATCGACATAGCACTTTTCCGTACAACAGACTTTAAAACCAAAAATGAACGAAAAAGCATGATCAACATCCTTCATGTTTCTATGTAAACATATTTTCATAGTTTCGCTCTTTCAATCACAATCTTTTATACTTCATTGGCTTTTTCATTCAAGAGAAATAATTATTCGAAAAGGCACATACTTTTTGCCCTCGGAACCACCATCCTTTTCAGGGAGAAGACACATTGAGATCTTTTTAACATTAACAGGTAGAGTATAGTATTAGCTTTTGAAAAATATATATTTATTAGGCATTTTATTTTTTGGGGAAGAAATTAAAAGCGAAAAACGGTATACATTATTATTTACTAAATTTATTTAAATATTTTAAATTAATTAAATATTTATGATTCTCTAGCATTTTTAGATTTTCTTTTAACGTGGTAATACCAGTAGTCTCTTACTCTTTTGTTAGTCCATGAACCATTTACTTTAACCAATTCTTCATTTATTCTCATACAAACTTCTTTTGGCAAATCTGTGTAATTAAGAAGCTCCCGAAGAATTATTTGTTCTTCTTCTGTATATTTTTGGCTTTTAGGAAGTGGAGATCTTACCTCTTGTACTCTTTCATTACTTGCTGCAGATATTGTCTCTTCTATTACAGCTGGTAAGTCATCATTTATTTGTTCTGTATCATCATTGTTAATTTGATTTTGTTCTTTTTCATATTCCTTTTGCTCACTTACTTTAATATGAGGTAGATTTTTTTTTCGCCTACCAATTTTGGATTGTGGTTCTGTTTTATAAATATCTTGATGTAATATACGATTTAAATGTTCAATTCCTATTTCATAACTTTATAAAACCAGATTCATTTATTTCTTTAGCATTTTTAAAAAAATCATGCATTTTAGGATCTGGAAGATCAAACGCCTTGTCTAATTCATTTACAATTGACCATAGGACTTCTTTTCTTTGCATAGCTGCATGACTACCTTTCACTACAGTATTGTCTTCAACAAATTCTGAGAAAAGCAGCATCATACGTTCATGTTCTGATTGAACTGACTTAATTTGCAGTGTCAAGTTCTTGAGGTCTGTAGTTTTACCAGTAATATTTTGCTTTATAAATTTTACACCAAAAAATTCTAATGCCTCATCAAATGAAAAAAAATGTCCTTCTCTGGTTAGATTAACTGAGCTCACATGGGTAAGTAACTCTTTCTGTTCAGGATTCCGGTGAATTGACTCAAGAAAAAATACTACTGATTGAGCATAATTGCTTTTTCCAGTTATAGGGAACAATGGAGCAAATGCAGCCAAGTTCTCTATCTGCATTTCAAAATTTCCTCTACGTATACCTAGTTGATGGCATTTCCAGAATCCAAAATAACGTTAGTATAAAAACCATATTCTTAATATGGTGCCGATCATCCAAAGACATCAAAATTTCAGCTAAACTTTAAAATGTATAAGCTCAATAACTAAGCAGGATTAAAAAAAAAACTCTCTA